GTTTTCGAGGTGGTATCAGCCTTCAAGCAATTGCATCCGCATGTTCAGCGATGGGTTTCGAAAAAAAAACACGAAATCATGAGAGCTCAAGTTGAAGCTCAGCACTCAACAAACAAAGATTTGCGATCGTTTAGAGGTTGTGCATAAATCACCTTATTTGCAACAGCGCGTTCATCCTCATTTCCAGCTGAAGATATGTTACAAGTTGAAGTTTGGCCATTTGAGAACACGACTACACTCTTATCTTTAGCGGTCTCCGCCTGAAACCATGTTCATTAATGAATTCGAGAAATACTACATAGAAAAATGGAGTCTACTCTTCATTAGAAGATCCTTAGTAGTCCGCTGCATACGCCTATTTTTTCCACTGGTCCAAATTATGTACCATCCCCTTCAAAAAGCCGGAAATTGTGTGGTGCAGACCATACACCACAAGTGACGACGGCCTCCAAGTAAATCTGGTTAGTAGTGGTTCATAGTGATAGCTGATTTTTGGTAAATGATAGTTGTAATTAGTGACAACTGATAGAATACAACTGCAACAGGCTAATCATTTCATTGGCAGAAAACATTTGCATTTTGTGGAGGCCGTCGTCACTTGTGGTGTATGGTCTGCACCCGACACTTTCTGGCTTTTTGAAGGGGAGGGTACTCTACTTACATTGAGGAGATCTCTTGCGAGACCGTACGCTTGAGCTGTAGCGACCTCCCCTCCAGCAGGATGATACGCCAGCAAGTCCTTCCTAGAAAAGCAGCTTTCGCAATGCGTAATCAATATAACATAAATAGGAACCCTTCTCTGAAGCGCTCATATCTGTCGTGCATTGCGTGGCATCTAGTACATATTGTTAGGCGTTAACCACGAAGTGCCGGTATGGGATAAAACCCCACTATAAGCAAGTGGGGTTTTTTTCCCATACCGGGACGGGATCCCATTCCATGACGGGTTGAACTGTTTATCTTGGCGTGTTCTGATGTCAATAGTGAACACTGGTGAGAGTAAATACGAGTCACCTCAATTGACTAGGAGTATAGGTGTCCATTTGCAAGAGAATTTCTGACGGACAGCTCATAGCTACAGCTGCCACTCTCGGCTGCTTCAATTCTCCCACGGTTCTTACCACTAGTTCAACCATCTGAAAATCACATAGTTCTCACAAAAACATGTCTAATCTGTAAAGCGCTGCCAATTTAATGCAACAACCTTAGACACAACAAATGTGCCGGTCGTGGCTCGAAAGTGCGCGACAACGCTGAGGCCTTATAAAGTGATCTGATGGCGGCTAAGGTGAACTCATGGACGAGATACCTCACACCCCCTAACACGTTAATTAGACGTAACAACAAGATAGCCGATTGATGAATTGACATGATAGATGCATCGCGTTGCTGCAGTTATGTTCGAGATTACATCCAGACACGTCCTTTCCTTGCCGTTTATCAACCGCTGTCACGTCAATAATTCGATTTGGGTTTGTTGCAGTGATGCAGAGCGCTCGACTCGTCACATTATAATGCTCTGACGTAGGAATCAAGTTATTACTGAACGTTCCCAATCGAAATTGCGCTACTGAAAATATGGGAAGACACGCTACTATAATTTTTTTCGACAAATGCTTTCAGAGTAGGGCGCATTTGAGTCCCCAGGCGCCATTAGTAACTATGCATCGACTCGTCAAATCCCCATATTGCAATCAAGAGCAGCCTGTGTCTCATTTCCCATTCGCAATAACGCTGTACTTTTGTGCATCTACGTTTTATAATAAAAGCAGGAGCTTTCCGGTTGAAGCGGTCTCTTTCGAAATGCCTACACATTTGCAGAGAAGTCAGGTGCGAAAAAGTACCTTCAAGGATGGTGTTTGTTCTCACCTCTATAGTTTTATGTTGTGAAACTTCATTCTGGTGGTCGGCGTTGGGGTAGTATAGTGACAATTAGCACTGTCGATCGCGCGAATAATCAGGAGGTCAAATCATCCTGTTCCAGGACAAACGAACCCTCTTCCCGGAGTTGTGCTTCCCACCTCCTCCCTCCCAGTTATTGTACTGATTATACTGAAACACCATTACTAGTATCATTACTTTTACAAATGAAAATGGGATGAATGGCGCATGACAGGAAAGGGACGACATTATTTATGGTGATAACGGAGCTAGTAGAAAGTAAGAAGATAACTTTAACAACGAACATTCTTCCATGCTTCTCCAAGAGCAGCAGATGAAGCATCCAGTAGGAAGACGATTGACTTTGTAGCAGAAGCGCTCTAAAACTCGAGACACATTTTCTGTCTTTTAACCATTGTTGTGACTGCCTTTTATGGTGTTGGTTTTCTTTGAGAAACTTGCTTCCGTCCACTCCATAATTATGGCCTCATTTTAGTTCTTCTATATTCTTTCTACATTGCTAGCGCTTACGACACCCCACCATATTAAATGATTCCACAGTGTAAGTATGAGTGCAACTAAATGTCCACAGGGGTGAGGCCGATTCAGGACATTCCTTTTCGCCCAAAAACGAGAAGAGAGCCTCAAAGAGTTCTTTTTCTCTCAGTGAATCATGTAAAATAATATAGTAAGAAGCTGAGAATGATCTTACACTATCTGGGGGTGACGGGATATGAAGTGTTGATACGCGCAAGTTTGCTCCTTCTGTTGTGGTTTTCGCCTCAAGCTCAGGCATTTCCGCAGTCGTTGAGAGTTCACGCACTCCAGGACGTTCCGTCTCTGCCTGGGATTCAGTGGTTCTCTCCGCTGCTGCAGGCGTCGTTCCATACTTTGTAGCAGAAGCGCTCTAAAACTCGAGACACATTTTCTGTCTTCTAACCATTGTTGTGACAGGTTTTTTGGTTTTCTTTGAGACATCTGACGAAAACGAAATATGCCTATTTACATAAGTGAGGAGCTAATGCTTATCATTCATTTACATTCACCATTATTTAGAACCCCGAAAGGATTAGCGGTTTAATGAGTTTGGGCTTTCTTGATAGAAATGAAACTTATCATTTGCTGAAGACTTTATGCAGTCGAATTCTATTAAGTAAGCTGGATATATATCGAAATAATGTGCACGTACCTTTGTTTGTACTACTACGACTTACTACAATTTGTAAGTAGGAACGCTCTAGTGTCAACGCTGCGTAACGGAATTGACGACTTTTGCGTTCTGACGCGCCTTATCAGCCCTTATCAATCGTTATCAGTTTCTGGCACCCACCAACAATGTCCCCGTCCCACCCCACATAACACTTGTAAGTATGGTTGCTCTGGTGTCAACGCGAGCCAGGCAACGGAATCGACGACTTTTGCGTTCTGGCGCGCCTTATCAGCCCTTATCAATCGTTATCAGTTTCTGGCACCCACCAACAATGTCCCCGTCCCACCCCACATAACACTTGTAAGTATGGTTGCTCTGGTGTCAACGCGAGCCAGGCAACGGAATCGACGACTTTTGCGTTCTAGCGCATCTTATCAGCCATTATCAGTTGCTATCGCTTCCAATCATGTACCACCAATGTCCCGGGACCGCCCCACATAAGACTTTGTAAGTATAGACGCTCTTTTACCAATATGAACGGCAAAACGAAATTGGCGATGCTCGCTTTCTAGCCCCTCTTATCAGCTATTATCAGTCGCTTATCAGTTCCAATCACTCTTTTTCCAAATTTTGAAAACGCAAAAACGAAATTGGCGATGCTCGCTTTCTAGCCCCTCTTATCAGCTATTATCAGTCGTTATCAGTTCCTATCACGTACCACTTGTGTCCCCATCCCACCCCCTATAACATATTTAAGAACCACTGCGCTATCGTTACTGTGACTCGAGCTATGAATTTCCGGTTCAAACATACACACACACACACACACACCAACAGACACACGCTAGCCGCTTATATATAGTAGGATAGTATGAAAGAAGCTGAGAATGATCATACACTATCTGGGGGTGACGGGCTATGAAGTGTTGAAACGCGCAGTCTTTTTGTCTGCTTCTGTTGAGGTTCTCGCCTCAAGCTCAGAGATTCCCGCAGTCGTTGAGAGTTCACTGCACTCCAGGAACGTTCCGTCTCTGCCTGGGATTCAGTGGTTCTCTCCGCTGCTGCAGGCGTCGTTCCATACTTTGTAGCAGAAGCGCTCTAAAACTCGAGACAATTTCTGTCTTTTAACCATTGTTGTGACAGGTTTTTGGTTTTCTTTGAGACATCTGTCGATCCACTCAATAATAATGGCCTCATTTTAGTATCCTCTAAATCTCTCTACCCTACTCAGCGCTTACGAACACCTCCACGAATATTAAATGATTCCAGTGTAAGTATGAGTGCAAATGTCCACAGAGGTGGGGCCGATTCACGACATTCCCTTCCACTCAAACACAAGAAGAAATGAGCTTCGAAGAGTTTCTTTCAGTGAATTATGTAGAATAATAATAGCAAGAAGCTGAGAATGATCTTACACTATCTGGGGGTGACGGGCTATGAAGTGTTGAAACGCGCAAGTTTGCTGCTTCTGTTGAGGTTGTCGCCTCAAGCTCAGAGATTCCTGCAGTCGTTGAGAGTTCACGCACTCCAGCACGTTCCGTCTCTGCCTGGGATTCAGTGGTTCTCTCCGCTGCTGCAGGCGTCGTTCCATACTTTGTAGCAGAAGCGCTCTAAAACTCGAGACACATTTTCTGTCTTTTAACCATTGTTGTGACAGGTTTTTGGTTTTCTTTGAGACATCTGTCGATCCACTCAATAATAATGGCCTCATTTTAGTTCCTCTTAATATCTCTCTACTTACTACGCTTACGACCACTCCCACGATAATGTAAATGATCCAACATGTAAGTATGATTGCAAATGTCCACAGAGTGGCCGATATCACAACAATTCCTTCCAACTCAAATCCACCCACAGACATGAGGCTTCGAAGCAGTTAGCTTTTCATTAGCTGAATTACTGTAAATAAATAAATAGCAAGACAAGCTGAAGATGATCTTACATCATCTGGGGTGAACGGCTATGAAGTGGTTGAAACGGCTTAAGTTTGCTCCTTCTGTTGAGGTTGTCGCCTCAAGCTCAGAGATTCCTGCAGTCGTTGAGAGTTCACGCACTCCAGCACGTTCCGTCTCTGCCTGGGAAACAGTGGTTCTCTCCGCTGCTTCAGGCGTCGTTCCATGCTTTTCCTTTGTAGTTTCCCAGGCCTCGGTTGTGGTAGCTGGTGTCCCATTGAGCCGCTGAACCAACCAGTCCTTGCTTTCTCCAAACGGGCAGGATCCTGCTTTGTCTGAACACTAACAGGTAAACTCTGGACTTGAGAAGTACAAGAAATATGCCAACTTACCGTGAGATTTTGTGGGTCGGCTACGTTGTTGGGGTCGTGCGCAATTTCGTCCAAATTAGATCGATTCATGGGTGTTTTCCGATGGGGACGTAAATAATATCCGTGTTATTATTGTGCAACTGCAAAACGAATAAACAAGATGCGATGGATAGGTGGCGAAATCTTTTTGGAATGGCTCTTCAGGATAGCCTAATAAGTTACAGTATAAGTTTGCGACGCTTCTGTAACTTGTTTGCTATCCATAAGTTGCCTACTAATCAAGCAATTATCACAGCAAGTTTTTTTCCTAATTTGAGTTACACCCCATATGAGGTTCAATGCAGTTTCGCTTCAAACAACTTAGCGTCCAGCGTAATAACTTTCATAAAATTGAACCAGTCGAGTTTTTGAGGTGGTAACAGACTTAAGCTCTCCATATACGCACTGTTGAGCTCTAGACAGTTTCGAGAAAAAAAAACACGAAATTATGAGAGCTCAAATTATTAAAAAAAAAATGAGCGGTCTAGAAACAAAGGCTTGCGATCGTTGAAAGATGTGCATAAATCTAACCTTATTCAATGCCCGTTATTACGATCCCCATATCTAGTTTCGGGTATGTCGCAGGTTGAAGTTTGACCATTTGAGAACACGACAACGCTCTTATCTTTGGTAGTCTCTGCCTGAACACAACTTTTGTGACTCAGTCTAGTTCCTAGGATAAGTTGCATAGAGAAAACTATGAGTTCTCCATGAATTGTGTTCCATCAAAAGAACCATAATTGTCCTTTGCATGCGGTTACTCTATGTTCCTACACCAGATGATTTTTTTTGCTCTGATGGTTCTAATTTCGCACTGTACTTACATCCAGTAGCTTTTTAGCGAGGCTGTACGCTTCAGATGTAGCGATCATTTCCCCAGCAGGGTTATACGCCATCAGCTCTTCCCTGGAAAACACGTTATCCGTCATGAAAACAATGATTCTGGATAGTACTAAGGACTTCGAAAAACATTAAAAAAAATTAAAGGAACAAGACCAACACAAATGCAGCGCAATAGTATGCCTCGTAAATGGTGCGGTGGGACAACAACTTTGCAAGAAAATAACCATAGCTGTTGAAGGTTCCAAAACTGCTTCAAATTTCAATGAACAGTATTTGCACATGTCCTATACGGCAGAGCCTCGCCTGCACTACGGGAATCTCTGGTGAACGAAAAATGTGGGTCGATTTGGGACATGAGATATGTAGGGTCTTGGGGTAATGACATGGGCGATCCGTTTGAATATTTTACCAGAGAAAATTCGATCCAGCAGACGATTGATACGAAGTATCGATCCAGGCAGCGATTGGATTACGCTGTAGCTGAGACCTTGAATAAAATCACCGTTGTAGCTAATGCATTAAAAATGAAATTGGGAGAGGGCGGGAGCAACGTGTCCAAATTCGAATGGTTACATCTGCCATGTAGGCTATCGTAAGCTGTGGGGGCGATCCGATGGAGTACAGCTTTTGCTTTGACAGTGCATTTTCATATTGGAAACGATAGTTGCTATGACACTTTATGAAGCCTAATTCAAGTCAGAAAGTGAAAATTTGGGGTACAATAATGAACTGGCAGGTAGTGTAAGACGCCATGGGCTTGTCACCTGCTACCTGAAGAGTCTTATAAATCCGTGCACGCCCACCACCGCGGCATTTCATCTGATTATTCGCTGATCTGCTAGGCTGCCTCTTCTCGTAGCCTCTCTTTTCACCTCTGAGCTTACTGCCTCTTATCACTGTCTCCTTTTAGGTTCGTTACAGCGCAGAACAAGTTGCTCGTATTTTCGTCGCTTTCCTTTTTGCTCAACTTGCGGTCCATTTCGCATGCTTAGCTTCACATTCATGTGAATCACAAGATTAATATGATCATGGGATATACCTCCAACGGGATGAGAGTTACCTTAAGTCTTCAGTATTGTAGATGTCCATAGGCTCGACAATTTCCGATGGACAGCTCATTGCTATAACTGCCACTCTCGCTTGCTTCAAATCTTGTACGGTTCTCACCACTAGTTCAACCATCTAGAAATCAAATAATTTTCACAAGAACATGTCTTATCTGCAAAGCGAAGCCAATTGAATGCAATAACCTAAGACACAACAAATATGCCGGTCGTGGCCCGAAAGTGCACGATAATGGCGTTAGGGCCTTACAGTGATTGGATGGCGGCTAATGTGAACTTATGGACGAAATACCTCACGCGCCTTAGCATATACGCCGTAGCGGATTAGATAATCGATAGGTAAATCAGTATGGTAAATGCATCGTGTTGATGCAGGTATGTTCAAAAAACACATCCGGAGACATCATCTACAGAGCGTTTCTAATTTGAGGTAACCGCTTACTCGATAGTATAATGTTACGATGTAGGAAATCGAGACACTCAATGAATGATCAATCTATTGTATATTCCTCTGAGAAGCATGTGAGTGGACTTTCTACATTGAGAGGATTTTAGCGGCTTCCGAATGTGCGAGTTTGACGAACGTGTGCTTGAACTAAATAGACAGCCTGCTGGCCTCCGTGATCGCAGCTGTCGTACTTCTTCGTGATTCTGAGGGAAAGAGTCATTCATGCATTGCTCATCTCTCAAAGAGGAGGTCATATTTAGGGTTTGTTTGGAGGGGATCGTATTTTTGGCTGAGTGGGTGAAAAGGTAAAAAAGGGGGTGAAAGTCGAATGTGTTGTGGTGGCGGGAGGGAGGAGGGGGTCATTTTGGCGAGTTCTGTGACGATTTCGAGTTGAACTTCGTGGAGTAAGCAA